GTCTATTTACTTGTGACCACGCTATGTATATATATATATATAGAATCACTTGGAGGATTGTTCTACTAGTTTATGACATAACTATTTTACTTTACAGAATTTTACACAGTATATTCCTCTGTCAGTCTGTGATCTTCAGCAGTGGATGGGATCACCTTCGATCTATGTTTATGATTGTTCCTGTGCAGGACTCATTGTAGAATCTTTCAAACAATTTGCCATTCAGCATGAAAGGGAATATGAAGTAAATTTTATCTTTCTGCTACTTAAAAGTACAGTTCTTTATTTTTCAGCAATGTTTGAAGCAGAAATTTTCATACTGATCAGTAAAATTAGGTGTAACAGGGCAAATGTATCTTCAAATTCTTTTGTATTAGCAAAGGAAGTTTTGAGCTAATTTTGTTAAAATAATCAAGATTATTTACTAACTTTTTATGAGTGTCAGATAGGGTCTGATGAACTTTAAAAATTCATAAAATTCATATTTCTTGCTTTGTCAGAATATCATTATGAACACAACATTAGTTTGATGAAATAAAATTAATCAGATTAAGCTAATCACCTCTATAAAAAAAAACAAATATTTATCACTGTGAGCAAATGCTGACGGTTTTTGTAAATAGGGCAAGGCTTTGAATGAGCTTTCACTCTTTCACATACTAACATAACCTGTGCTAGTCTACAATGTAATCGGCATTAGACTATACCTTTCCACCAATAGGACAATGATATATCTTCCTTGCACAATACTCCTGTTGAGCACTTTGTGTAAACCAAAAGCTTATTCTTTTCCTTGGCATTAAACTGTTTAGACACATTGTTTTCTTATGTGATCTCTTGTGCTGTTCCTAACATTTAGTATTGAATGGAGATGACACTTTTTCGTTTTTTTCTTGTCACCTCCCATCAAGTTTGTTATCTCGTGACATCTCTTACCTCTCTGGCTGTCACTGTCCCTTGGATGAAGTTCTACAGTTGGAGATGTGAACAACCCCAGACACAATTTCTGTCACATTACCTACATTACACTGTGGTCTCATTAGCTTCTGGGTTTTGTCTTTCTCCAGTCACCATTCTCCAACACCACTACCAAGAGAAACATAATTTAATAAATAAATTAATAAAAATACCTATAAAAAAATTAAAAGGAACCTATCATGTGACCAGTGTTCCTTAAAGGGAATAATTCTCTTTCCCAAAATCTGCATCAAATGGGAGATAACAGAAAGTGTTCAACCTATAAACCCCTGTTCAGTGCCCAAACCTTACTGGACCAATAAAAAAAAAAAAAAAAAGTGGCCACAAGCTCACTAAATTGGACAACTCCTACTTTGCCTGTTTGCAGTAATCCAATTTGTTGAGATGATTCCTGTTCAGTTCGTACACCTTTCTACTGTTCCACCCTACTTAGCTTTCTTCTTCTCAATTTATTTTAATGGAACTGGAGAACCCTTGCTTCCTCATTACCAAGCTGCTTGGGTGGTTAGTATGGAAAATTATCCTTTGAGTTAGTTTAATCTTGATGGTATGTATGAGACCAAATTGATACACCCTTGATTGGAAGTAGGACAGGGATATCATCCTGGAAGAGTAGTACAGGCCATTCCCTACACTAAGAACTGGAACATTCCCAATGGTTGTGACCAGCCAGGTGGGTCTTGGGATGCAGGTCTGGGATTATTCATCCCTGAACCTGCATATTCTTGAAGGTATTTCCCCCCATACTGTATGACTTGTTTTACTGCTAACTTCCTGGGATATATAGGGTGATTAAGCAGCCTCCACCCATATTTGCAAGACTTTAGCAATAAATAGAAGATACTTTTGACAGAACCTTTCTGTGCTACTTTGAAATGGGCAAAGAGTATTTCAGGTTAGAGATGGATGCAGTTTCTTACTGACAGCTGTTCCAGTTTGGTCCCACCCCCAATGGGAGACATACACTATTAGTTTTTCTTTTCTGTCACTACAGTCTCAGAAAGGAGACTTTTTAATTTAATTCTTGTAACTGGTCCCTCCACTATCGTAGTGTGGAAATTTAGATATTTGTTCTGGTGGGATGTGGGTAACATAGTGTGAAGTTAACATTTTTCCTACCTGAAAATGTATTTCAGATAGATACTCACCTGTTAATAAAACCATCTACCCAACCTCCCCACTTTTGGATTATCTATTTACCTCATCAAATATGAACTTTTGGTTTACATAAAGTACTTAATAGGAATACTGTGCAAAGAGGATGTGTTATCCTTTTATTGGTAGAAGGGTATAGTTTCATGCTTATTGCATCATACACTAGCATAGTTCATTTTATTATTTGTAGGTGCTAGAGTCCATTCAAAGGCTTGGTGCAAAAACTTTTGGCAGTAGTGATGAATACTAGCTATTTGTTCTGTGTAGAGGTATCTAAAATACACATTTTTCAGTTAAGGGTAATGTTAACTTTAACACCTTCATATCTTAAGAAAATAAAATTTATATTGCTTTTAATAATTGCTATTTTAAACTTTACAGTTAGCCAAATAATATGTTGCACTACATATTGTAACACATTCAGGTAGCTCATTCTCTTAAGTAATTTAAGGTGTTGTTATCCATCAAGACAAAAAAACTTTGTCCACACTGGGAAGTTTTGTCTTGTATACTACTTTTTTTGTAAACTAGATCCATCTGCATTTCTGATTATTTCAGTATTACAGTTCTCATGAAGTTTGTGTTTTCAGTTGTCTGTTGCCAACAGTAAAGGCCAATACCAAGGACCACCACCATCTAATTACAAAAACTGTATACAGTTAGCTGCTTGTGGAAAGCATCAGATATTACCCATGAACCCAGACTTGCCTGCTGACCTTTTTACCTCATGCCTTACAACACCAATTAAAATTGCTCTCAGGTGGTAAGAATCTTTTACTTCATGCTTTTAATACACCAAGAACTTCATTTACATACGCATCAATCATTTTCTTTCAACCAATGTCTGTTGCCACCGAATTTAAAAGGACTGTTGCAAGCTTGAAAAAAAACTTTCTTTTTTTTTATTATAAACATGTACATCAAATAAGCTCATATGGTTTTGAAAACTGCTTTGAAAGTTAAGGATAGATAGGCAGGACTTCTGTTGTGTGTTGGACAAATATAATGATATCTCAACAAATGGAGATGGTAGGACATTGGAATGGTACATTTGACATTGTTATTATTTATATAAACTAAAAGGGGGCATGTGTGTCACATGACAACGTAAGTGAAAATTGAGAATTTTGTAAAATATTTTTCTTTTGAAATTAGAAAATCAGAATTTAGATAATATAAAAATTTGAATTGTGAAATACGCTCTGATGCCAAATTTATTGACATATATTGATAGTAAAGTTTTTTAAATTAAATCCTTAATATAAGTTTGTAAAACATCATGACATGAGCAATTGAGCAATGATGTACACAAAAGGTTAAATACTGAAAACTACCTCAAGTCTCTGAATTTACTAATCAGTTTGTTTAAAGTAGAAAGTATCTTCCACCAGCTACTGTTTTTTTTTAAAATAAAAATGGTTTCTGTTCTTGTTAGTTTAGTTCTTTCAATAATTTTGGTTGTCTAACTTACTTCATATTTTCCAAAATATAGTTAGAAAGTAAATCCAAGACAAAGATTTTAGAAAAAGTTAACTTTTATTTCTAGTTTTTTGTAGATTTTATTTATACACTTACACCTCATTGTTTTCATTCATAAATAAAGAGGTTTAATTTTATTTAACCTTGATGCTGGATTTAGCACTTGTGCTTTCTCATGAAAGTGAACAAATGTGTATAAACACGCAATCTGTTCCAAGCTGCTTTCTACACCTAAATTTACATAAAGCTAGGTCCAATTTTTGTTAAATGTTTTTTATGTTAATATGAATTTTAGTGACTGGATAAATGCCCCCCTCCCCCACCCATTAGAAACCAGTATTATATTGAACATATGTTGCTGATTCTTTTCTACTTTTTCTTTCTACTCTGGTGGTTATGGTGCCCGACTCACAGTCTTCATGTTGTGCATTTCATTCCCATTATTTAACATGTGGGTGCATTATAATTTGATGATCAGTTTCACTAGGGTAACATTACATGAAATTCAACAACCAAAGAAACAGAATAGTCTCTTTTTATGTAACATCCATGTACAAACTTTACATGTTAGATGGGAAAAAAACAATAACTTACCTTTTTTTAGATGTCTGAGTAAACAAAATAAACAATCTCTTTGCCATATATGTTTACCATAAGAAAAAATTTAATGGCTTGTACACTCGTTTTGAGAATCTCGTACCAGACTCCTTCAAATGTAACCTTGTTTTAAATCTCCTTAACAAAGCATATAATATCTGGTCTGACTGTTTCTGTTGTCACTCAGAAATTTCCAAAATTAATAACTATTACAAAATAATGGCTATTTCCTTAATTTCTTACATTCTATCACACAAACAGTTTTTTTAACAAATATAGAACCTACCAAGAAGCAATGTGCTGTCTCAAAATATTTGCTTGTTCTTATCTCTTTTTTTCATGGGCAAACAAATGTTTAAACCCAGTTCCTGAATAAAAAAAAAATAAGCAAGACATATTAATTGCAAAGTAAACTACATTTATTATTTAAGTCAATATTTAGAATTTAAAACTAGGAGTTTAAAACCAAATACACTATTCACATTCCTATCCACTCATGGGTCATTTATAAATACACTTGTGGTAACTGTAAGCCTACCTATATTGATAAAAAAAACTACACATCACCTATAAATATGTGCATATGAGCGAATATAATTTTCATTCAGAAGTGGATATAAGCTAACTAATCTGCCTGAAGTTTGTATCAAATTAAACAGAACAATCACTTTATCTTTTGTTTTTAAAACTTTTAAGTTCTTGTCTTCAGAAAAATAGATTAAAGAAACTATATTAAAAAAGCATTTTCATTGATCGTCCAACACTAAATAATAACATCATTTCATCCTTTTTTTTTCATCAATCTAATTATTTCCAGGTTTCCACTGTTTTTATTTATTTATTTAGTTATTCTTGTTAAAGATGCAGTGGTTTATACTTATATTTTAATCTTTCTTCATAACATTTTCTCTTACCAATATTATTAAACATATGTCTGCCATATGCTTTAACATACATTCCATTTCATTGTTGCCATTTCAAATCTGTGTTTTTTTCTAAACTTTTGGTTGCATAAAATACTTTTAGCTTTATAGTTGATTTGATGTTTATTGTAGTTAGTATGATGTGAGTTAATTTCTTATTTTTCTTCTGAAGGTTTGTAATGCAGAACACAAGCAAGTTAGTTCCTGGAATTACATTGGAGCATATTGACAGGTACCTGACATTCCTAGTATCACATTTTGATATTTAAGCATTTGTGTGGTTCTGGAATTACACTATTGTTTAGAGCCAGTTATGTGAATGACTGTATGAAAGAGTTCTGCACATCATTCTCAGAACATATAGTAGTTAAAAGATGGGTATGTGAATGACTAACATTTCACTTAACCTTGTAGAGGTATTTTAACAGTTTCATTATTTAATTGTTTCTGCTGGAAGAGAAGGTGGGGATGTGCATTATTTTATCATGATTGATAATTTGGAAGAAGTGTGTATAGGATTCTAGCATTCAGATGTAGATGACAAACAGGAATTTCATTATCAGTCATAACCTGGTAGTTCATAATTTTGGCATCATCCCTAACCTGGTAGATGAAATTCCATGATTTTAGCATGTTAATATGGTTGGTAGAGGTATGTGTGTAGTTTAAACTATGTACACTTTATTTGACAAGCTAGTAAATGTATAATTTAACATCATATTTGAACTGTCAGACATACATGCATATCATTTTAGCATTATTCTAAATATGATAAAGCATTTGATGAGGTTACCATCCATGAGTCTACCTGTAGCAGCAATATATTATAATATGTTAGAAATTCACAGTGAACCAAATATGTAGGTGCTAAGCATTGTTACTTGAGCACCACCACTCATAATTGCAGTAACATACCACAGTATTAACACATAGAAATCATTCCAAAACCAAGACTTACTTTAAATGTTAAAACCTTGAAATGCCTTGAAAATGAAAAATATATTTTGTAGCTTTATTTTGTATTTCATGAAATGTTATGAAGCACATAAAATCATGAACAATAACTTGCAGAATGTTATTAGTATTTGTGGATTTAATTATCTTTGACATGTTTTTCTTTTCAATGTCTTGAGAAAGCATTAGAATTAGTTTCCAAGCATAGAAATTTTGCATGCCCTACTTGGCCATGTTTGTAATGTGTTTTCTTTGTTTAAATTTCTTGATCAAATCAATTGTAAAAATAACTTGTATTATCTTGTGCATTTCAGAATACAATAAAACATGAAAAATATTTGTAGTGGGCAAGCAATTATTCAATAAGGCTTTGCTTCTGCTTGTTACATAGAAATTCCAGATAGCTAAAGATGTAGCAAGAAAATAATAAAATTGAGTACAATGTCTCGGTGAAGAACTTGGATATTTTAGAACTTGGGCTAAAAACAAAAGAACACAGTTTAATGGATTAGTCAAAGATATATTGAGAAAAAAAAGAATTGATTAAAGTACATTCAGGCATAATAACTATTTCAGTTGTCTGGACAAATTTTTGGAGCATTTGAAAATATATGAAGATTGAAGTACTAATGTTGTACATTTATGCTGACTTGAGCTGGGTAACTGGTAGAATTTCTCAATAAATTAATGGTCAACTAACTGATTATTCTCACTTGAGACCTGGATAGTTGAAATAAGTGAAAATGGTAATAATCGGTAGCACTAATTATGATGAGGTGGTTATTTCATGCCACTTACTGATTAAGGTGAAAAATCATGAATTAAATTAAAAATATTGATAAGTTATAATTGTAATATTTTGATTACTTTGCTAATTCAAAAAGAGTAATAATTGGAAACACTAACTTTTATTATTTCCAAACCTTAATCGATTAAATTGTAATTTCAATATATTATTTTATGTAACACTAATTGAGTTAATCTCCTAGCTCTTATGTTGACAAACAATGTTCATCAAAACTGTAACTTGATACATTATGTTTCTAAACATTACTCACTTCTATGCACAACAAAGAACTATTACCTTAAACACACTGCTGTGTAAGTTCCTGCACATGCCACAAGCTTTGAACAAAGTTCCCACCCCTACATGTTTCAATATGTTTTGTGCCACCCTATGATGTAATCATTAGATTGTAGCCCTCTACCAGTAGGAGGGTGACATATCCTCCATGAGCTGTAATCCACACAAGCATTAGTGTTTGAACAAAGGCCCATTCTTTACTCAACACTTCTTGTCTTCTGATCTTTTTTTTTAGGAATTACCAGAATTTTGCACTTATTATTTTAAACTGTCATTACCATTCATAGTGTAGTCTTTCTCTCCTTACTTTTCTATATTATGTGCAAGAATGATACCACATTTTCAACTTGTCATTTGTTGAGTTGTTTTTTTTTTACTCATATTTGTACTTTTGGAACATATGTCACAATGTCTGTTCCTCTTGTTTAATATGACATACAGGTTTTGTTCTGTACTCTTTATGGTTGTCATTAGGCCTATACATCATCAATATAGCTGGCTCATTTTATTTCTCTTCTTTTAGGGCTTTACATTGAGATCCTGTCAACTTTACTGAGACAACTTGCACATACGTATTTTCCACCTGACCCTCAGTTTTCTTTCATTTTGTTTTAACTTTTTGACTACTAAATATAATGTTATCTCAGCAAATAGAAAAGACTGTCAGTTCTTATTTTATGATCTTGCTTGTCAGTATTGGTAATTTGAGTTTCTAATTCTTTAAAAATTGTAGACTTTATATTTTATGATGCCTGCAATACAATCTGAGCAAAAGCATAAAACAATGTACCATATGATACACAAAAAATCAATATAAAGCAATTTTTTTTAAATATTTACTTTTGAATTAAAAAACTAACTAATGTATAATACTAAAACTAAAATTATAAACTGCAGTTTGATACCAAATTTATTGACATACATTCATAAAATAATAGTTTAATAAAATTTTGAATGTAAGTCTACAAAATATGGTGATGTGTTCTGACCACTATCTGTATTGAAAGGGTTAATTTGGTTTCTTTGTTCCTGGGATGTACTTTGTCAGATTTCCTTACTTTCTGATATCTGTCTCCTTCAGTTTTCTCTTCACACCTTCTGTCTTGCACCATTTCTATACAATTTGGTTTTGAGGGGATATTTTTCTATCTTGGCATCTTTAGCTGATGCAACTCATCAGCAACTATCTATTCTCAAAGTGAGAAGTTCTTGCTTTTGAGACCAAGTGGGACCACCAGGTTTCTCATTGTGTCATGGGATCACTTTCTATCCTGTTCTGTGTTTTCTTGTTACCATCCAGTGTCCCCCTTGTTTTAGGTCTAACTGTCATGGTTCTTCTGGGCAATTTTTTTTTCTACTGTCACTTCTAGGCACCAGTTCTGTGGAAGCTTTGCTCTTTAACTCTGTACACTTGTTCACTATCTTTGCTACAATCTGTTGAGTTCCTCAGGTGCATTCTCAATGATTCGTTCCTGTACTCTTATGCTCTGCCTTACCTGTTTTGAAGACTATGGGTAACGTTTATCTACTGCATTCTGGGATTTTATCCCCATCATTTTGTTCTTCTCATGAAAATGGCTGACCAGTTATCAGTCTATCCAACTTGACCTGACTTTGATCTTCCCTCTGTTCCCTGTTGAGTTTTCTTACTCTGAGGTGGATACTCTTCCTGCTGGTGGATGATCTGATTCAAGGACTCAGACACTTTCTTTCTTCACATCTTTCAGTTCATCCACAATGGTCAGACATTCAGTTGTTAGCCCATCCCTTTCAGTTGGCTTTGCCTTCATCTTTTTTGTTTTGGGCTTGATGGGATTTTCCTTGGCAATTCATTCTTTAGGTCTATTATTCTACTACTCTATAGACATTTGGCTTCTACTTGCCCCTTTCAACAAGACTTCCTCCTTTGCAATTTCCCTTCTCCTTCAGGAGTTGTCTTGTTTGGGGTGGCTAGTTCAGTTTTCTGATTTAGTCTCAATCCCCACCCTGTATCTTTTTTCACTTAGAGGTCATTCTACCTTTATATGCAATGCAAACTCTGCCTACTTCTTTATTTATTTGAGATTTGAAGCTATGAATCCCCAGGTTCTCATGTCTCCATTTCTTACTTTCGAAACTTATCTTTTTTTTTTGCCCTTTGTTTTTGTTTTTCTGAGTCCCATGTTACTCTTTGAAGGTGCCCATACATGTCTTCTGGCATGTCATTATGGGTATATCCGCTGCCATTTTTCACCTCTTGTGGTCATGGGGGCTCACTCAATTCCATGTAACAGGCAGTGTCCTTAGGGCTAGTCGCTAGAGCTTGACGTTACTGCTGATTACACAAACTTTGTTTAGTTGAGGAATGCAGTAGTGAGTGAAGCTCACAAGTCACTAACTCAATGTAATTTATGATTAGACTAAAGAAACTGATTCTGAGACTGATATTTAACATAATACATCAGTTTTATTTGAGTTCTTACAACGACATACACTTTTTATGACAACCGTTAAATGTTAATAATCCGTTAATTCTTAACAATCCAAATTTCACTTTCATTTTAAACATTCTTGACTAATACAGCTCGTATAAAAAAATTTCACTCTTTTTACAATCATTAACTTTCTTTATATGATTACTATCTTATCCAAAACTACATTAACTGAGCAAGAGAAATAGCATTTGTACTTACATCAGAGTGGAGCTGGTGTATCGTTGTAGATTAGATACCTTCATCATTGTCAATTCTGGAAGAACTTGATAGCCTCTGGAGAATTTGTAATTCGTTCTGGAGAACTTACTAGCCCCTGGAGATCTTTGTCAGCTCTGGGAGAGCTGATTTTCAGCTCCAGACACAAGTTGTTGTACTATATTTTCTCTGTATCCCACGAACTTCCAAGTAATATTTTTAACTACCCACAAGCAGTTCTGACACTTCATTGGCTAATTTCTGCAACTTATTGGGCATTTCCAAAACAAGACCCAAAACTTTCAAGTAATTGGTTACTATCATGGTGAGTGCTTCAGTTGCCTTCTCACTTATTCTATTACTCCAGTCTGTGCCAATTTTAGATGCCATCATAAACTTTTTAGTAGCCTTTACTGTACTACTAGATTGGCATCAGTAACTTATCATTGTCAAAATTGTGACTGGCATTTTTCTCAATGTCTTCACTGTAGTTTCATTTTTTTTTATAACTCTTAGCTCTGATTTTCAATACTAACTAACCAGCTAACTATGCTTTGGCTAATTATTGACTTAATTTTGTAATAGAGGCATTCTTACTTATACCATTTCTTCATGTATGTGTACCACACCTATAAACCTAAATTTCTTTAGTTTCTTTCATAAACTCTCTTAACATTAAAATAAAACAGTTTTAAAAGTTACTTAAAAACACCCATTTGCTTCACCCACATGAGTCTGTCCTGTTTGATCCCTCCATGTCCCACCAGTGCATACTTGTGTTCCATTTGCTATCATTTATAAGGTTCTATGTTTGTGATGAGTGCAGCACAAGTGGCTTATTATATCTCTTTGTGTTTAATGTCAGATATACCTATCCACCACAGCCTCTGTTCAGGTAGGATGCCTGATCTATTTTTAGCATTTGGTTTTTGGAGGAGGGGTTTCTTTATTTCTAAATCCTAGAGATGGTGGCTGCTTCATAGCTTGCCATCATCTGTCTGGTCTTCTTATAGTGATCCAATTAGACTTCTGATATTTCTTCTGTCTCCCATCTGAAAGGCACTTGATTCTGGAACCTCTGTTTTCCTGGCTTTGAATTTTATCTTTTAGATCTAAAACAGTCATGTTCAGTTAACAGTCTATCATGTTTTTGGAGCTTAGGCCCTGGTTGTGGATCTAGTGTCTTTCCTGGATCTGGACCCTTCCCACATTTACTGGTGTTTTCTGTGGATTTGCTATGGGAGTACTATCATCACTGCCTTTCCAACTCTCCTACATTTGGGACAATATGAAATGCTTATAAGAAGCCATAGTAAACACAGTTTGCATTAAGTAAATTAACATGACATCTTAACATGATTTTTTATGTTGTTTTCATTGCTGAAAATGTCCAGTCTTTTTATATAGTAACTGCAAGTGCCTCTCTTGCAGTGTGCGAAATTTGTGAGTGTTTCAAATTTAAACACATGTTAGACTATCTCCTCAATTTCTTGCTTGTGGGAGACATCCCTCTCACATTTGTCTTGGCCTTCTCCTAAACTCTTTACTACAGGGACCAGTTATTATTCTTTCCTTTCCACTCCTTCCTCCCCTACATTTGGATGACTTTGGAGGGTGATTGGTTGTTTTTCTCCATTCATTCTCCACTCTTTTTCTTTCCTGTATGATCTTTCTGGTCCAGATCATCCCTTTTGTTCTGTATGGTCTCTTTATAGTCTCATTTGTTCTGCTCTTTTATTAAGGTGCTTGTAGATATCCTTCCTTACCATGGAATTCCTCTTTCCCTAGTAACTTATCTCCTTCCTTATATATCTGTATTACAGAGACATTGGAACCTCCTGTGGCCCAGGTGTTGCCTTAAATGGAATACTTTTCTAACATTTGCATCAAGTATGGGAGTAAAAAAGTGTTAAGCCTATCCACTTTTGCTCAGTGCCTTTGTGAAAAAAAAAAAAAATGACAGTACCAGATATGTGCATGCTCTCACACTTGCTGTCTTTAGTCAAGATAATCCATTGCACTGTCTCTCAGTGTGAGACCTAATTCAAAATGATTGTTCTTGATGACATGGTTCTAGAATCTTTCTGGTTCCTGTTCATTTCTTCTAATGGAGTATGGGAGAACCCTTGCTTTCCCAGTCCCAAGCCATCTGGGAAGTCAGTATGGCAATTTCCTCATCGGGTTGTGTAATCCCACTGGTATGAAACCAAGTGGATGCATCCCTTGTTGGTAGTAGAGCTGGATGTTACTTGGAACACTGTGGTCACCCCACTACATTTTGGACCATGCTATTCCCTGTGTTTAGATATAACCAGAGCTTATCTCAAGAGACAGGTCTGGGATCTTTATACTTGTACCTGACTATTTTGGTGAGTATCTCATGTAAGTATTCCTCCTTTACGTAATGGACTGACTTACAGGTCTAGCCATATTACATATTCATGCTCAACTGTCTGCCTGTGAGGTAATGGCCTGTTGAGCAATGTCACATCCTGCCCACCTTAGCAATTTAGCACCTAACAATTAACACATTAACTGTTGCAGGAGCAGCTCAGTTGCCGTTTTCCGACTCACAGATAAAACTGAGTTGCCATCAATCACAATAAAATGGTAATTATCATCATTTGCATAGAGTTAGAGTTATGTATGTGCGATTGACGGATATTTCCGTCATTCGCAGATGAGCCATAGAACTTTGATGATGGACATATACGTCATCTGCAGTTGATGAGTTAATACCATGATAACATTGGGCAAAACTATTTCTTGCTTAAGATGGTTGTGGTCTCCCACCAAGTGCTGCCCTACTAGGCTACTCTGTGCCTCATGGATGTCACATTTCATGGACTTTTCATTTCTGACACTGTTTTCAGAATGAAACTTATCTTAGTAATTTCTCTGCATTGGTCCCTCCACCATCTTCATTGTAGGATTCTAGCTCTTTGTAGAGCAGAGAGGTAAGTAGCATTTCTCAAGTTTACATTTTCTTTACTTTAAAAATTTATTTCTGATGGATATTCACATCTCTGTACAACCTCCCACCCTTCCTTCTCACTTCCAGTGCATTTAGTTTGCCTCATGAAAAATGATCCTTTGTTCAAATGTTAGAGCTCATGGGGATTACTGCACATGGAGAATTATTGCCTTCCTGTTGGTGAAAGATTAGAGCCTAGTGATGATTACATCACAGGCTGGCACAATAAATGTTGATACCTGTAGGGGTTTGAGCTTTGTTAAAGGCGTCTGGCATGTGCAGGAACTTACACAGCTGTGTGCTTAAGGTAACAACACCTCTTTGTTGTGCACAGAAGTGTGTAATGTTTCTGAAATAAAATGTATCAAGTTACAGTTTTTGATGAACATTGTTTGTCAACATCGAGTTAGATTATTAACCTAGAGAGATATCTATCTGAAATACATTTTCATTACAGTGCATTTAATAAGTACTATATGTGCTCTATATCTTATGTTTATACAATAAAATTTTTTTATTCTTACATTACACTGTTGGCAGGATATATCCTTGAGAAAAAAATTCAAGTGATCCCTTTAACTCTCTACCACGGGTATTCCTTAGTGCACATGACACAAAGTTTTAGTGTCTTACATTCAAAATGTTAATTACATTTCTTTTTGTTTATGTTGTACCATTTAATATAGCATACAATTTTAACTAATAATCCATATTTTAATAGTATATAAAATTTAAGTTCTTAATTGTACAAGACAATATTAAAAAAAGTCTTGAATTTCCCCTAGTTTGATACACGTGACACATTTTTTCTGGGCATCCTCTCTTCTCTAGTTTACTCACCACCCCTTGAAAAAAGTACAAAATTAAATGTAAATTGCTCAATATAAATCATTATTGCACAGACAAACCATAATTTTTAAAGCTTTCAATTTTGTTTGGTTACAGAGCCAGGATTTGTTAATAGTTCTCTTTTATGTTTAATTATATATTTCCTACAACCGATAGAAAGCCAAGGTTTTCATCTACCAAATGAAGACACTATAAAGTATATAGAAATGTGCATGTAATTGTACAATATACCAGACCTGTTATATTGTTTAAAATTGTTATAATTATTTAGTTTTATAGGTACAACAACATTTGTTGATAGTTCTATATGTACATCTATGTTTTCTGATTGTTTAACTACTTTTTACCTGGTGATTTTAATGGTAGTGACATGTGTTTCGTTACTTTTATATTTGTGTTTTCCTCTAACCAAAAATATCTAATTTGTCAGTGCTTGTTGAATTAGTAGATCCCTGCCAATCTTTAGGTCTTTGTTTGGTGCATGGTGGGGAGGAAATGAGTGTTAATATAAAGTACAGAAGTATTGTATATTTTTATTCAAGAACAAATTTTTTAAATATAGTTTTGATAATTAGCTTTATTGAAAACTTATCACTATATGTGTATGGCCAACAAACTTGAGAAAAAGTTTGTTTTGTTTAAAATCATGTGGATTTTTGTGTGCGTTTGCAGCTGGGGAGTGTGTAAAATTTATAATAATTTATAATATATTAAAATTTTTTTTTAAATATATATCATTAATAATCCATTAAAATGCTTTCCATTCACATAAATGTTGTACTTGGCTTCTTATGTTAAACATTTGTGACTACATAGGTATTATTTCAAAACCAAATAATTTTACTTCAAGGAGTACCAAAAATTTTAACATTATATTAATCATTTCACTAAACAATAAAAAATACTTATTAATGTTGTTAGAGCCTCATTAAAATTTTAAAAAAATTCTAGAATTCCAGGACAACTTAATGATCGAAGGACCATGCTTGGGGAACTTAACTGGATATTCACTGGCATCACAGATACCATAGCATGGAATGTTCTTCCAAAAGATCTCTTTCAGAAGCTATTCAGACAGGACTTACTAGTAGCAAGTCTCTTCAGAAATTTTCTTCTTGCTGAAAGAATAATGCGTTCTTACAACTGCAATCCTGTGTCCAGTCCAAAGTTGCCACCAACGTATCATCATCCCATGTGGTCAGTTTTTTTTTCTTTTTGTGAAACACATTATAAATATGGTGATGGAAAAGTAATATGTTCAAATAAGTAAAAAAAATAAAATAAAGTAGAATGGATAGTGAGAAAATGTATGACAAAAAGTGAAGGATAGTTTTGTTTTCAAAAAACAGTTTATTCCTTACACATAATTAAACCATCTTGTAGCTTTCACATGCTCACTGGTTTGAAACTTGTAAGAGAAAATTATCATATTATAATATTTACATGTTATTTTTATGCTTTGCTCTAAGAAAAAAGGCATTCAAAATAGCAAACTTTGTTTTATTATTCACATTTCTGGTATTGAAGAAGTGTTAGTTATAATGAAGTTTATTTTGGGTAATCAGCATGGAATTTTACTGATATACAGGAAAACAGCTTTAAAAAATCATTATCAAACATTGATTAAAGAATTAGTCAAACAATTATATTTGGTAATTACTCGAAGTATGGAAGTTGACATTGAAAGAATATTTTAACATTTTGTTGCAACTAAAACACAGAGAAGATGAAAACTGTGAAATTCTTTTTTTAATTTAATTTACTGTATGGAATATAATAGATATATTAAAATGAAATTTTAAGTTGCAACATTAGGCCAAACATTTGGAAATTTTGTTAAATAAAAAATAATTTCAAAGGCCTAAAAAATTCTTCATAGGGTACTTGACAAAACAAATAGTTTTAAAACCTTTTATATGTAGAGATTACTGTAAATTATGAAATTACAAATATGGCAGGATTTGTTACTGGTTATGAATTTTCATTCTTTGGGTTCTTCAATCTACATATAATGTTAAAGTATCAGTCAAGAAATTTAGTTTGACTGTGAGTCAGAATTAGAAACTTGGGCAAGAGCAACATGTAACTCCAGATGAATTCAGGTAGTGGAGTGCATACTGGAATGTAAACATTTCATGAAGAGAAGCAGCCAATATCCAGTGAAAATCCTTTATTTCCTCAATGTTCCACCTTATGACTTCATCAAAGGATACACCCTACTGAACACACAAGCCCATTCTTAGCAGAACAAACAGCTGATGTAATTCAAAATAATAACAAAGTGTTGTATGATAAAAAAGTTGCATCTGACAGGAAGTCATTATTCAAAGGATCAATAACCAGATAACGAAGGACTGAGTTGAAGCTGTGCCAGTTGCTATTCCCAGGGGTTGAGCATAATATACATATAGGTAGTCAGATAATGTAACAAACTGATACACTGTGTAATAACAGTTCAATAAAGATAACTTGTTTTGTTTGTGTTTTACGTAAAATAATTTATTCATTGATTACATTTATTTCGTAAACATCCATGTATCACATTTTTATATATATATATATATATATATATATATATATAATATAATATTAA